TTGATTTGCATTTTTCTACTGGCCAAAGATGTTCAGCATCTTTTCACGGGCTTATTTGCCATTTGTACATCTTCTTTGGTGAAGTGTCTTTTCAAAGCATTTTCTCATTTTTTAAATAGAGTTGCTTGTTTCCTTATCATTGAGTTTTGAGTTTTTTATATAATCTCATAAAACTCCTTTTTCACATATGTATTTTGCCTATATTTTCTCCTAGACTGTAGCTTGACTTAATTCTTTCAAAAATCATATCAAAAAATTCTTTGCCTAACTTAAAATCATAAATGTTTTTTCAATGTTCTCCTCTGAAAGCCTTACAGTTTTAGACTTTATATTTATACCTTTGATCTATTTTGAGTTAGCTTTTGTATAATGTATGGGACATATGATGAAATTAATATTTTCTGCAAGTGAATGTATAATTATTGAAAGACTATCCTTTCTACATGGAATTGCTTTTGTAATTTGGTCAAAAATCAGTTAACTTCCCAGATGGGTTGACTGGTGAGTTCTACAGAACATTTAAGGAAAATATGCCAGTTCTCCACAATCTATTCCATAAGATAGACAAAGGATACCCCCTAATCCATTCTATGAGACCAGCATTATAATACCAAAACTGGACAAAGACATTTCAAGAAGAGAAAACTATAAACTGATACTCTCATGAGTATATATGCAAAGACCCTCAACAAAATGTTAGCAAATCGAATTTAAAAAATATAAAAATTGTATGCCATAACCAAGTGGGATTTATGCCAGTTATGCAAGGCTGATTAACTTTCAACATCAATGTAATCCAACATATCAACAGACTAAAAAAAAAAAAATATCGTATCAATAGATAGAGAAAAATCATTCAACAAAATCCAAGACTCATTCATGAAAAAAATTCTCAGTAAACTAAGAATAGAGGGAAACTTTCTCCACTTGATAAATAATATCAACAGAAACCCAACAGTTAACATCATACTTAATGATGAGAAACCTGACGCTTTCCCACTAAGATCAGATACCAGGCAAGGATGTCCCCTCTCACCACTCCTTTTTGACATTGGACTGAATATACTTGCTAATGCAATAAGCAAGGCAGTAAATATCTGCATATTGGAGAGCAAGAAATAGAATTGTCTTTGTTCACATATGACCTGATCATATATGCAGAAAAGCTGAAAGAGTTAATTTTTTAAAACCCTCCTAGAACTAATAAGCATTATAGTAAAGTTACAAGATACAAGATTGATATAAAAAAAAGCTGATTACTTTCCTATATACTAGCGAGGAACAAGCAGAATTTGAAATTAAAAATACAATACCACTTTGGGTGATATTTTGGTGCCCCCAAACTGAAATATTTAAGTATATATTTGACAAAATATATAGAAGAACAATTTGAGTTAAACTAAAAAACTCTGATGATGGATATAAAAAAAGAGCCACTTAAATGGAAATATAGTCCATATTCAAGGATAGGAAGACACAATATTGTCAATATGTCAGTTCTTGATTTAAACAGTCAATGCAATCCCAATCAAAATCACAGCAAATTATTCTGTGGATATCAACAAAATGATTCTAAAGTTTATATGGAGAAGCAGAGACCCAGACAGCCAACACAATATTGAGGGAGAACAAAGTTGGAGGACTGGTACTACCCAACTTCAAGGCTTACTATAAAGCTACAGTGACCAAGACAGTGTGATAATAGTGACAGAATAGACAAATCGAGTCCTAAAATAGACCCACACAAACATAGACAACTGATCTTTGACAAAGGACTAAAGGCAATACAATGAAGAAAAGATGGTCTTTTCAGTAGATGGTACTGGAACACCTGGAAAATGCACAATGCAAAAAAAAAAAATCTAGATAGTCACATACCTTATATCCTTCAGAAAAATAAACTCAAAATGGATCACAGACCTAGATGTAAAATGCTAAACTCTGAATATCCTAGAAGAGAACCTAGGAGGGACTTAGGTGAGCTTTAGCTGGGCAATGACATTTTAGATATAATATCAAAGGTACAATCCATGAAAGAAATAACTGATATGCTGGACTTCATTAAATTAAAAACTTCTATACAGAAGACAATGTCAAGAGGATGAAAAGACAAGCCACAGATGGGGGAAGATATTTGCCAATGACATAGCTGATAAAAAGTTATCCAAAATATATGAAGAACTCTTAAAACTCAACAGTAAGAAAAATAACCCAATTTTAAAAGGGGCCAAAAACTTTAACAGATACCTCACTAAAGAAGATGTGCAGATGACTAATAATCATACGAAAAGATGCTCCACATTATATGTCACCAGAGAAATGTGAACAAAATAACAAGCTATTACTACACACCTACTTAAATGGCCAAAATTCAGAACACTGACAGCTCCAAATACTGGTAAGAATGTGGAACAAGAGGGACATGTATTCATTTCTCTTGGGAATGCCAAGTGGTACAGCAACTTTGAAGACAGTGTGGTGGTTTCTTACAAAATTATACATACTCTTACATATAATCTTGTATTCATGCTCCTTGGTACTTACCTAATGGAGTTGAAAACTCATGTTCACACAAAAACCTGTACTTTGATGTCTATTGATTTTTCATTCATTGGAAGCAACCAAGATGTCCTTCAGTAGGTGAATGAATAAATAAACATGGTACATCCAAACAATGGAACATTATTCAGCACTAAAAATGATCTATCAAGCCGTAGAAAGCGTGGAGGGAACTTCAATGCATATTTCAAAGTGAAAGAAGTCAATCAAAAAGGATACTTACTGTATGATTCCAACTGTATGACGTTCTGGAAAAGCGCAACTACAGAGACAGTAAAATTATCAGTGGTTGGCAGGCATTGGGGGTGGGGGTGGGTATGGAGGAAGGAATAGGCCCAGAGGATGCTCAGGGCAGTGGGAGGTACTCCGTAGGGTATTATAATTATGGATATATGTCATCATATGTTTGTCCAAAAACATAGAATGTACCACATCGAAAATTAATCCTGAGGTCAATTATGGACTCTGGGTGACTATAGTGTGTCAGTGTAGGTTCCTCTTTGGTAAAAGCTGGACCACGCTAGCGAGTGATGCTGATGGTAGGTAAGGCCATGCATGTGCGGGGCTGGGGGTATATACGAAGTCTCTGCACCTCCCTCTCAATTTTATTTTAAACCTGAAACTTTCTGAAAAAATTAAGTCTTCAAAAAAATCCATTTTTCATATTTTGGTGGACCTATTTCTGGACTCTCTCTTCAGTTCCTTTGACCAATATATCTGTGATTTCACCGGTATCACAGTTTTGATTACTGTAGCTTATGTGAAGTCTTAAAATTGGGCAACGTGAGCCCTTTAATATCATTTCTTTTTCAGAATTGTTTTGCTCTTCTGGCTTCTTTGCCCCTTCATATACATTTTACAGTCAACTTGCCAATATCTAAAAAAAAATTTATTGTGGTTTATTGGAAGTGTGATAAATCTTTAGATCAGTTTGGGGAAAACTAACATGCTAAGTAGCTTTAGTCGTCTATCCATGAACATAGCACGTCTCTCCATTTATTTAGGTCATCTTCAATTTATTTCATCAGCATTTTGTACTTTTTGTTGCCAGAGACTTTACATGATTTGTGAGATTTATACCTAAGTATTTTAGCTTTTCGAGTTATTGTAAATATTTCTTTTTTAATATAGGTTTCCAAATATTGATTGCTAGCATATAGAAATATGATTGACCATTAAATATTGCCTTTAAATCCCTAACCTTACTAAACGTATTGATTAGTTCTAGAAGTTTTTTTTCTATAGATTTTGCAGGGTTTTCTACACAGACAACCTGTGAATTGTCTATGACAACAATCTGTGTTGTCTGTGAATAAGGACAGGGTTTTTTTTTCATATCTATATGCCCTTTAATTCTTTTTCTTGCTTTATTACACTAACTAAGACTCATATTTACTTGTTTTGGATTTTTTTCATCTTTTAATAAATGAGAAAAGTTTATTTAGACTGTTCAAGGATTTATCCAATTTCACATGATTAGTAGTCGCCATAACGAAAAGTGGAATCTAAGAGCTTGGGTTCGGTTTTATTTTAATTCCTTCTAGTTCTCTCCTACGTCCTCTTTCTTGTGAGACTCAGACACAACGAGAGAATGGATATAGCGCTAATCCCTGTGCAGTTTTCCTATTGATTTAGTAATGACATTTTACTGAACTTGATTACTGAAGAAACATGCCCTTCCCAGTTTTAAAGCCAACCAGCATCTAGGGTGACTTGGGGCCTCAGCCATGATGAGGTGGTCATTTGTCGCCTTGAAAACTCCCAGCATTTAACTCTCAGGTCCCCAGGCTTGAAGAGCACATTCTGAGTGCTTTTAAGGAATCAAATGAATGAAGAAGTCAAAGCAAGGAACGGGTCTGCTCACCCCTCCTGCTGTCAGTGACTCTGTGGTCAGGCAGCCTGTCTCCCTGTGCACTCGGTGAAATTTCAACCTGGACATGGGAGGGCTCTTGACTTGATCAGGGAAGAATTCTTGGTCAGGGTGAACAAGTGCCAGCAAGAAAGAAATGTATTAAAGCAATAGTAATAGCGAATGTCAGTAGCTGTGAAGGCAGAGAGCAAGGAAGAGCAGGGGACGGGGGAAGTATGTTCACTGAACTGCTTGGCACAGGGCAAATCCCTTGCCAACTCCTAAAGCCAGGTTCATTTGGCATCCAGTGTCCACTTGATCTGCACGGCTCAGGAGTTAAATCCTCACCACCCCTAAATTTGGATGAGCTGTGGAGCACTGAATGGAGTGAAACTATGTTCTGAGAACTTCCACCTCCCTATTGCTCTGAAATAAAATAGGGAGAGAGAGAGAGAGAAAGATTGTGTTTAAGACTAGAAAGCTGAATGAAGCAGCCAGGCGGCAAAGGCATTTACCACCAGAGGTGGAGGTCAGAGGGGTCTTATCTTTATTGTGGAAAACAATTCAGAGACAAAGTGTAGTAGGTTGAAGCATCAGAACGTTTATTTGATAAGACAGTACAAACTCAGACGCGAGTGTGGGTGACCTCAGGGAGGAGGTGTGCATAAGGGTTTAGGGGTTGGGGTTTTATAGTGTCTTTTGAGTAAGGGTCAGCATAAGGCACGGTGTATTTAGGTGATAATAATTCCTTTGAGTTTTCATATTAAGAATAGGGTTTTTAGGTGAGTATGTTGATCCAGATCTTGGCATTCTTCACCCACGTAGGTTCGTTTATGCTCCAGAGGTCTGTCTCTCATCCTGGTTACAAAGTTACCTAATTGACTAAGGTGACTAGAAGAAGAGAAAGAGCAGCATATAGAACAAGTTACAGAATAAGCTGGAGCTTTTTCACAGGCTAAGTAGATTTTATGATGGCATGACCCTTGTCCCATGTCCCCACCCTATGTCAGCATCTCTCTCCATTCTGGGGCCCTGGATGGTGGTGAAGGCGATTCAGAAATGCCCACTGCAGTTCTGCTCACCCACTCATGCTTGCTGTCGGGGGGCTGGAGGGAGTGAGTGACTGCACACCGGCCTCCCCAGGCAGTATCACTGGACCAGCAAAAGCCATATCCCCAGGTAAGGCCTGATGGGGACAGAGAGACAGACGCACATACAGTTAAATGCTCAGCATATGGACTCCCCGGCCCAACATCCTGCCTGGCTTTCTGGGCTTTGAGATCATCTTTTCCCTGAAAAGAGCCTTCCCATCAATAAAGCTGTCTTCTGACTCAGAAAGAGCTTCGGATGGACCCCAGAGCCTTCCCTGCACCTTCCCCCAAGGACGCTCGGTGCCGGTGTAGCAGCATGAAATCCATTTCATCAAAACATAGTAAAATATACACACTGTGTTTTGGAAAGAGTTTGAAGGTCGGCGGGGCCTTTTTGCTGAGGCAGAAGTTGAGAGGGAGCATCACACTCCCTGAAGCTCCCTCGTGCAGTATGGACCATGTAGGGCGGAAATGGAAAACTCAGAAGCCTTAAAAACTGCCAACAAACATTTTCATTCTTTTTTATCTGGAAATGTTTGGGCTCAATGGACTTTGTTTCGAATGTGCTTGAACAGAATACAGTGAATCTTATAGCAGAAACGTGGACCACATACCCTGCAACTCACATCAGACGGCTCCTGGTGCACTGGTGCGGGACTTGTATTTTGTGCACCATTTGCAACTCGGTGCTGTAATTCCACAGAGTCTACCATTCCTGTTAAAAAAAAAAAAAAGAGGGAGAGTTCGATTTGGTTATTGAGGCTCTGAAAGGGAATCTCTGGGGCTTTCTGCCATTCCTTGCCCCACTACAAACTATGTTGACCACTCACTTAGACTTCTTTCATTAACCCAGCAAGTTATATATTTTTTAAAAGCAGAATGTGTGTGGTTTCTTACCTCCTGGATTTTGCAATTTCAAATGCATGTTAATTTAGTTTTATTGACCCAACAAATGATTATATTAGGCATGCTACCTTTCTCCACTGTGGAATAAACTGTTAAATCTAAAAGGAATTTCCATAGAGATAAAGAGATTTGAAACCTTCAAGAGAACTTGTTAATTAGTTAATGTTTCTTAAACGCTCTGGAAATAAAAACTCTCTGTAAGTGCAAGGAGCCATTTTGTGCCATCGTTTCCCTGAGAGGACACAGCTGTTTCAGGGAGCTTCTAGCCCTAAAACAAGACGTGCCAGAATCTGATCATACTCAACTATGGTATGAAGGAAAGCAAAGAGACTGCTGCTGGAACCCCAAAACAGGAACCCAGAAAGTTGAAGGGAAGAGAGCAGGACTGTCTGCAAATCTCTTTTCAGCTGAAGGAAGCATGGGTTCATCTCTCCCCTTCCTGCATATCATCAGCTTCAGGCCAGCAGGGCTCCTTTACACTGAGCATCTGGTTATACTAGCAGGTCCCTCCCAGCTGTCCTAGACGGGACCCCAAGGCAAGCCCATGTTGGCAGGTGGCCTGGCTGGGATTCGTGTGCCCCATGCTCTGGGCTTCTGCCGGCCTGGGGCAGGTGTGGTTGCAGGCATGTGAGCTGCAGGACATCAGTACCTGGGATGGAAAGGTAACCCCCGGAGAGGTGGCTGCTGTCCTTCCAGAGGGATTTTATCCTGGGGGCCTGAGATCTAAGCCACACAGTGTTTGACCTTGTGCAGGTGAGGGCAATAAAACATCGGGGTCCTGTTCACAACTCAGAGGCATCATGCACCCATGGTGGGCACATGGAGAGGTCCAGGCTGGGGTCAATGGCAGGCATGTCTCATCATGCTGTAAGATGTCCATGGGAATCAACAGCCCCCAAAGATTGTGTGATTGGAAGATTCTATTTCATGAGCCTGACTCACCCTGAATTCAGTTCCGTGGGTAGCTCAGCAGTGGCTCAGGTCTCCAGAGACAATGAGGCCATGGACCACCTTGTACTCACATGATGCCACAAGGTAGGGTGTCCTGATGCTGAGTCCCTGCAACCACATGAGGACTGGATGGGGCCCTGGTGGGCTGTGAATATAGAAGTCAGGATTTGAGGAATCCAAATGCAGAGTGTAATCTATTGTATACTCAAACCTTCAGTTATAATTTGGAAATAACTCCTATCAAAGAAATGAGTTCTAGAACCCAAATGGCATGTAGAGCTTCGCTGTTCTAAGGGTAAAATTGTTTGGCCAGGTGTGGGAGATGGGTAGTACTCTGTGACCCAGAGCATCACAAGGGAATCCCTTGTGCCATGATTGCCTTGCTTGCTGTGTGACCTTGGACAAGTCACTTAACCTCTCTGAGTTAAATGCTCAAAGAATACTAGTCCCATAGGCTTTGTGACAGGATTAAATGAAATAGTTCTGAAGCACTTTGTAAACTGCAACAACACTTAAAGGTTTACTCAAATTTCACTCAATGTGACAAAATCATGCTTCCATTCAACTAATACTTATGGAGACCTAGGGTCTTGGTGTAACTGCTTCAGGGGGACAGAGGAAAAGTCGTGGCGCCAGCCCTTGACTTACCCTCATTCAGACTGGGAGCCTACATGTGTTGCTATTGCTATAAAACTAGCAAATTTGTGTGGAAAACCATGAAAGCTTGGCTCACTATTGTGTTATTCGTGATGATGTCACTTAAGCAAGAGCACAAGGAGATTCTGGGATTCCAGGAAATGGCCAATCTAAGATAAACACTGTCTTTAACTTTGCATTAAGACATACGTGTCCTCCAGGTTTTAGGAATTTATTCGCCTGCTCCTGTCAGGTGCATCATTATGTTGACTTTTGACCTGCACTTGCGAGCTAGCTATGCCATTCAGTTTATGGGGAATTGGACAGAGAGCCAGACTGGGACTCGTCTTACTGTAGAGATCAGACAGCTCGTGGTGGGGAAGGCCCAGCACCCACTGGTGGGTGCTATCACAGTGCCCTGTAACAGAGAGAAGTCACAGTCAGACCGTGAATTGAGTCTCCTCGCAGGGGCCTGAGCGACCTGTGTTCCCACCTGAAAGTGGCCAAGCCTTTTGTTGATGCGCTAACGTGGCTCCTATCCAGTTGTCAGGGCACAGCCGAGCTGCGCTCTCGCTAAGGGTCCATGAGGGCTTCTCCCGCCCCGTCAAGTAAGGAGGCAGGTTGCAAGCAGACTCACCAGCCAGCCAGCCCATCATTTCCATGTCATAAACGACTCCACGCTGCCCTCCTGTCAAAACAGATTTTCAGGCGAGAGATGCAACCCCCCCCCTCATGCATCACTGTGTGTGACACTATCGATTTGATACTGACTCTCAGCCGTCTTTCTGGGCTTCAGTCCAACAGGTGGCCTGGTAGACGCCATTTTCCCCAGAGGGCCAGTCCAAGACAATGTGCAAGTCGCCATTAAAAAAATCCTTCTGTTAAAACAAATTTCTGAAGAGTATTTCTGAAGGTAAAGTGGCCTTCAAGGCAAAGCTGCGTGGCTTGGTGGGAAAGGGGGGACAGGGGACACTGCCGAGAAACTGCAGCGGAAGTGGCCTTTGCAGGGATCCATTCTGTCCTCCATTCATTCCCTGGCTGAGTTGGGTGATGTCCAAGTTTTCCCTACGTGCCGTCTTCCACTTTGGAATTCCTGTCCTCTTTGTGTCTGTTCTGTTTTTCAGCTAGAAAAGCACCCTTGTTCTCTGTGGGACCCCAGCAGAGTGGGCTTCCCATCCCAGCAGCATCCCACAGGCACAGTGGAGACTGCATTTGCCACCCTCCCCGGTTCCCAAAGCCTAATGAAGCATCAGAAGGGACAAATCCAATCACTCTTAACACTTGTTACCCTCTGCAGCCCAGCCCCTTCCTGGGCCCTCAGCAGCAGGGCTGCCTGTGTCATATTCCTCCTCATTTCACTCCTAAATTTTGCCAACGTCCTCAAAAATGACACGTACCCGGTAAATACGTTTGTATTCTCTCAGAGCTCCACCACCTTTCTTGACTCAGAGACCGTGCGCCTGAATTAGACAGCAGCATGAATCCTGTGGTTTGCCGGTGGTGGAAGGGCCAGAACGTGATACCCTTGTCCACTGACCAGCCGACGGCTTCCTTCCTTCCCAGATGGGATGCCGCAAACTCCCAGGAAAGCTCTCCAGCTGGGGACATCGGCTTCATTGTCTTTCTTTATCTCTTCATTTAGCCAAAAGGGAAATATTGAAAATCAGCACCCAGTGTGTATTCTGAGTTGTCCGTAGTGCAATCAAATGCATCGCCAAGCCACGCCTTGCCAGAGACCCTCACACACCCACTCCCGCCCTGCACGATCGCGCTTGCGGGTGGATAACACATCACCACGAGGGGGCCTCTGGTTTGCATTTTCCTGTGTGGCTTTATAGCTAACTAATCAGGTGACCATCTCCACCAAAAGCTAGAAAACCATCCAAATCAACAGGAATTTTCTCTCAAGGGCACCACGGGCAGGATGGTGGGAAACGAAAGCTGACAAAGATTTTCGTAGTCAGTCAACTTGACGCAAATTGTGGTGCGGTGATTCTGGAAACACCTGAGGAAATGATGTTATATGCTCTGCCCACCCACCCCCTTCTCTCAAAAGTAAAAATTACAAAAGAAATGTTTTGAGATTAAAATTATACATAATTTTAGTAAAAGAAATCTGTGGAATTAATAAGTTTTAATGAAATAAAGGAAAAATCCTGATAAGGATGGGGAAGGCTATACTCTATTTTTTTTCTTCTTTTTTACTGACCCTCAAAGTGGTAATTTTTTTTTTTTTTTTTGTGTGTGTGTGTGTGTGTGTGTGTGCCTCTTCATCCCCTTCACCTGTTTCACCCACCCAACCCACCCCGTCCCCCATGATAACCACCATTCAATTCTCAGTGTCTTTGAGTCTATTTTTGTTTTGTTCCTTTTGTTTAGTTTTGTTTATAGATTCCAGATGTAAGCAAAATCATATGGTATTTGGCTCTCTGCTGAGCTTGTATCACTTAGCTTAATACCATCTAGATTCATCCATGTTGTTGCAAATGGCTGAATAATACTCCATTGTGTATATGTACGTCTTCTTTATCCATTCATCTAATGATGGGACCCTTCAGTTGCTCCCATATCTTGGCTATTGTAAATAATGCAGCAATAAACATAGGGGTGCATATATGTTTTTAGATCACGGGTTTTGTTTGCTTCATGTAAATTCCTGGAAGTGGAATTGCTGGGTCATATGGAATTTCTATTTCTAGTTTTGTGAGGAACTTCCATCCTGCTTTCTATAGGGGCTGCACCAATTTGCAATCCCACCAACAGTGTAGGGGGGCTCCCCTTTCTCCACATCCTCGCCAACACTTGTTATTTCTTTTCTTTTGGATGGTGGTCTTTCTGACTGGTGCGAGGTGATACCTCATTGTGGTTTTGATTTGCATTTCCCGGATGACTAGTGACGTGAAACATCTTTTCATGTGCCTGTTGACCACCTGTATGTGGTTATACTGTCCTTAAAAAAGAAATTCTAGTCCAGCTCAACGACTGGAAAAGTAGCAGTTAAATGTCTGCTGGATGCCCAAGAAACGACACTGTGTCTGTTAGGAGAGGCCCCAGCATTCAGCTCTATGGTCCCTACATAGATGAAGACCAGGACCCCCTCTCTTGAGGTCTTATCTCAGAATCACACACAATCCAAGTCAGCTTGTGGCCCTTCCAGAGAGCGTCTGCTGCCCTGGTGTGGGGGTCCTGGCCATGGGGGCTCCTCCCAGACTCTCCTGCCCC